GGGGGGGGGGGGGACTAACAAGGGGGTAGGCAGTCCTTCATGCCAGAAAGGGCTCATAGGTGATAACCAGCAATGTGAATTGTACCTGAGAAAGAAATTGCAAAGAGAATGAGAAGAGGCCCGCTGAAGAGTTAGAAAAACAGTTCAATTTCCTAGGCAGCTTCTCCCAAGCAGCAGTTAATCTTCAAAGACATCTAATTTTGCAGTAATAATGTTGTGGAAATTCTTTTGTTTTCATCAGTTTTGTCTATTCTTACCCATCACAATTGATAGGTTTGGAGCAAACATTTTATCTTCGAATCAAAATATGATATTAAAAAAAGATAAAATGAAGATCAATAGACTATAACTGTGCTAGCCTGATTCTGGCAATCTTTAAAAGTCTGGAGTTACAGTAGCACTATAAAATGATTGTTCTTTTAAAATTGCATGAATAAATGTGGTTTGGAAAATGCAGATATTGTAACCCATAGTGGGGGCCCCTTTCTATATATATACACACAAGCTATTATCAATCCAAAAATCTGTTTGCTTTGATAGCCAACACATCAATTGCAGAAGAAATCTTAAAAGGGTGCAAATAACAGTGAAACAAAGAAATAATTTTTAAAAATACTCAATTGTCACCTTTGGAGAAGTATATCGTTTTAAATATCTAAAATAAACAGCCCAATTTCAAGAGTCAATACTGAATATACAATATTTGTACCCAGCTCTTGAGATTCACAAAAAGGTACAATGAAATATTGCTAAAATAACATTATTCGTAATACTTACAGAATCACCTGTCTTTGCTGACACAAAATGGCTGCTAGAATGATTTTCCTGGCAAAATCGAAGATGTTTATCAACTTTTACTGTCCGTAGATGTTCCAAATCAACTAAAAAGAAAAGAAATAGTATAATGAAAACTTAACATAAGCATCTTTAAAACAGTGTTCCATTTTTTTATCAACAGTGGGTTGTACTTTATCCTAAAATGAGTCACGAAGAGTTGTTATCATCATCATCATTGCCATCCTCATCCGTCATCATTATCAGCTGGGACAATCTTCCATTATATACATAAACTGTAATCAACTGCTTTATTTATTCCTTTATGATGGAAACTGACCCATACAGCCACTAAGAAATAAGAAAAAAATCAATAGATACATTCCACCTTTCTATCTGACAGTAAGGTGGAAAGAGTAGCTCACCAAAAATAAAATTTTAACACAGAGAATAATTTTTCTGTGAATTGTCTCATAAAGGTTTTTGGTTAATTAAAGTTTTAGACTACAATGTCATGCACAATTATAAGGGAACAAATCCCACTGAAAATACATTTACTCTGCTGCTTACTAAAATGGAAGGATTAATCAGTTTTGCTCTTTCATCTACTCAGGCATTTTGAATAACTTGGAAGGTCAGAACCAAAAGGGAATTGTGAGGGAATCTTTTGTGTGAACCCAGGATAGTCAAACATTTCATTTATTATTTTTTAGATCATACTTTATAAATAGATATTTGCCGGATAAAAAAATTCTTGTGATCTGTAGACAACTGCCCTTTTATTGATCCTAAGCCTTTCCCTGTGTTTATCTTGGCTGCTTCTAAAATATGATAGTAACTAGTTAATGATACTGACATATATTTCATATGTTTATTTTCAAACTTTTTTGAAAAGCAATTCATTTTGAGAACTGGTAAGGGCTGGTGCCAAAAAGAAGAAGAGCAGAAGTTGTTCAAATCTTATCTCGATCATCACAAGAATTCACAATAACACAGGCTTTATTCACTCATGTCTCAAGCTCCATGCTACAAAATTCTAACCTTCTAGGTAACTCATATATACACATGTACCTAGTACTTAAATATTTGAAATATGTCACAATGAATACAATATTAATTGTATATAATTTTAATGTACAATGGGTTATCGTTTATTTATAACGTGCCCAACTCATGACTCTGGGTAATGTACACAATAGAAACAGCGCAATACAATCCAAATAGAGCGCAATAACTCAGAAATTAACGTACCAAACTCATTAATTAAATTCCCACAGCAGCACACACTTTCTAGCCCAACACTTGCGGTAAAAGCCAATTCTCCAAGGTCCATTTAAAGGATAGCAGAGTCTGCTCAACTCAAACCTTAGATCAATTTCCTACTGAAACACAACAGGATGCTTCACATTCAACAACCAACCATAGGTAGCGTTACAAGAGCAAGACTGTTCAAGTCTTAGGGCCGTGGGCTTCCTCCCTCCTTCCTGTAGTACTAAGGTCAAGATCAGCAATATCATTATCTATACATAACGTGCATGAAGTCAACTGCAGAACATGTAGCCTCTTTAGAAAGAATAAACAAATCTGCAGTAATATTTTGGTTAACTTCATATGTTACCACACAAAATCTGTTTTGTAAGTGATATCTGGCTGTTTATTTGACAAAAGGTAGGGTTCATAAAAATCATCTGAATGACCAGGAAGAAGCAACAACACAGGTAAAACTAACTTGCTAATGTCCTTTACCTACTTTACTTGGTCAGCCAAATGGCACAGGATTGAAGTAGCCCAACACATCCAATCTGAGCATTATGATCAGTGGGGAGGCCTGCCTGGGGTCGCACCGGTGGGTTTGGCTCACAGGGCAGAGAGTAGAATAGGCCCTTCTCAGGGGCAATGTTCCATCGACAGAACTCTCCCACAAACGATGTTCGAATCCTTCAGAAAACAACTGAGGACGTTCTTGTTCCCTGGGCACCAGACTGTCTTTATGCTGCTTCTGTTTTTTAAAATGAATGTTTATTTTTATGTGTATAATGCTTTTAAAGCATTGGTGGCTTTCTTGCCAGTTTTATTTAATACTGTTTTGATAACCGTTCTCTTGTAAACTGCTCTGGACTCCTCTGGGATAAAATAATCTGGTATTATGAAATTCAAATGTATTCCCAACATTTTCACATTGTGCCATTATGTACCAACTGAGGATAGAGAAGTGTTTCTGAAGAACAACACTGAAACTGAAACTCAATGGAACTTATATATGGGTTGTATTGCGCCCGTTCCAGTATCTTCAAATTGAATCCTAAAGCGAAGGGGAAACTATACTGAACAGTTCTCTTTGTACAGCATTCCAAGGCCCATAAGGGCAATGCTGTCAAATTCTAAGGCAAGAACATTTGTAAGGGTTTAAGGACAACCAAGTTCTTTTCCAAGTTCAACACAGGAAAAAACCCTTTGAGTGATTTTCTGAGGAAGGGACCCTGACTTGTGAAAACCTGTACATTTACAAATCTAGTAAGTCAGAATAATAGTGTCATTTGATTATCAACTGGAAAAAGTCACATAAAAATGCTTTATTTAAACTGATAGGGGTATTTAATTTGTAGATTCTGGAAAGTCAATCTGAGGGATCTGAGGTCTCACTAGATTCCACAGTCCATTTATATGGTATACCTAACTATGTGAGACATTTTAGCTTTTACTACAAAGGGACTAAAATACTAATGGCTAAGGGACTGGCGCAGAATGTATGTGGAAAAACTGCTAGAACTGTTATTTTCTAATTTATGTTTATTGGCTAATTTTACCATGAAGGCTGATTTCCAGCTGATGCCTTAACTTGGAAATCATTGCTAATTATACTTCATTATCACTACTATGGTCCATATCCAAGCAAATGATGATGATAAAGCTTTATCTAGAAGGGCTTTTAAGTAAAATATACTGTATATTCTAACACGGCCCCAGAGAGGAAAAAGTAATGTTCAAACATTATTCAGGTAAAGCAGTTCCTTATTAATGATCTTCTTGACAAAGAGGTAGGTTTGTGGTATGGAAGTAGAGGAGTTTGGGAAATTATAGCACATCTCTTCATTGTGAGGTGGAAGACAAATGGGCTACTGCAAAAAAAGGAGTGACTGCTATTTACCATACTATATACTTCCAACTGGAAGCCTCATCTGTATAATATGCAGATTAATTGTTAATCAGGCAGGTCAGTTGTGGGCTAGGAAAGGGCCAACTAACCCTCCCTGCTAATTTTCTACTCTAAGTCACAACTTGCAAAATTGAAATAGAAAACTGGGTTTGATTTTTCTCACATACAGTATATATTTGGACCTTCAAAAGTTAGAATATAATTTTATTGTCTTGTCTGGGTATCCCAGTGTTAATCAGAAATTACACCTCTCCTACCCTGTGGGAAAAGAGAAAGGCCTACCCCTTCAGACTGATGTCCCACTTTAACAGTCATCCCTTGGCTGGTAGTGGAAAACTTCATTGCTGTGGTTTTCCAATGGATGAAGCTTTGAACCTTCTGGGTAAAAAGCTCTACCTGTTTTAGGATACAGAGAAATTTTGTCAACTGGCACATTTCTTTTCCCTCCAGCTGACTGCAAGGGAGGGAGTGCAAACCATGGAACTTAGAAAGGCGTGCTCCACCCTCATGGACTCTACACTGCAGCTCTATGGAACTGCTCTGCTCCTCACAGTAAGAAAACTAGGGCTGCAATCCAATGCACATTTTTCTGGATGCACAATGGGTAAACATTATGTATTTTTATTAAATGAATTTATTGTTAAGAAACATATGAAAGGGGTATAAAATCACAATACATCGCTGCAGCAAGAACTTGCCCGCTGCTATAAAGAAAATGCAAGTGGTATAGTGGAGAAGGTGTTGGACTGGCACCAGTGAGGCCCAGGTTCAAATCCACCCTTAACCACAGAAGCTCCCTGGGTGACTTTAATCCAGTCACTTTCTCTCAGCCCAACCTGCCTCAAGCATTGTTGTTGTGGCAAAAAATAGGAGGAGGGAACTCTATGTATACTCCTGCTGGATGAAAGGCAAGATCTTTCATTTTTAGTCTTATAAATAAAACAAATATAAATAAAATAAAATAAAATAAAATAAAAGTCTTATAAATAAAACAAATGAATACACTTTGAAGAAATGTATTTAATGTATATTTAATCTTGTTCAACCAAATGTTCATGATTCATCAAGTACGCTTTTCAGAGATCAAGTCTTGGATTTTGTTATTTTCTCATTTTCTAGCTGCCATTCAGCAGTAAAAACCTTCATCCAAAGACCATATCTATGGCTATGCAAGTTACCACAACTGATCAAATTCAACAGCTACAGTACTAAACATTTTCAAAGGTTGCATTGTATTTCAGAATCCACTCTTCCTTTTCTTATGGAGTGAATAAAAAGATGGGCTGCATATGTACCAATTTGGTTCTGCAATTACCTTAAAGCACTGAGCACTTTTACACATACAAAAGCAGGGTGGGGGGTCTGTGTGAAACAAAGGTCACATACTTTCAAGCTATATACAGTTTCTACAATTTAACCTATTGCATCCCTAACACTCTATTATTAAGTCAAACAGAGCAATACCACAGAGACAGAATATGAATTGCCACTCTATATAGAACAGAGTAACCCACTGCTTCGACAGAAATGAAATGTACATGCAGACAAGAAGCATGAGACTTCTGTGCACTGACTGGATAGTAAGGAGTAATTCAGTTAAATTCATAAGCCAGCCATTGGCAGGTAAAATAAAGAAAAAAATAAAAACAGATGAAATTCAAGAGGAGTTGTAAATTTTTCTTTTGCCAAATTTTAAGATGCTGTTTAACAACTCCATGAATCAAACTTCTTAGGATCATTACAAGATTCAATTTTGGTTAAAGAAAAATACAGGGGAAGTGGTTGCAAAAGTGATTTCAGAAACAGAACTGTAATTAGACGTTTAACAGTTTATGACCAAAATTCATCCACCCAAGCATTCCTGTATTTCTTCCTACAAGTGAAAAAAAAATTATGTCCTGCTGGACCTAGGCCCATGGGTGCAAGCCCCTAACACATTATATTCAGTGC